TGCCTCTGGATAAGCCTCTGTCTTGTCTCCTTCCTCGAGTGTTGATGTTGAAAGCTGAACCTGAATTTGAGCTTTCACCCGAGTCTTTTCTTCGTACTTCTTCATCTAAAATCAGGTCTCGGATATCATCATACTTTAATTTGGATTTTCCAGCTGAGTTGCTTACGGCTGTTCTCATACCTTCCCAACTGCTTGGAAGTGAAGCTAGAAAAATAAGTGCTCGGATCTCATCATCAAACTCAATTTCAACGGATGACAATTGATTTGTGATGGTGTTGAAATTATTAAGATGCTGTGTAACAGAGGTGCTTTCTGTCATCTTCAAGTTGAACAGCTTCTTCATCAAGTGCACTTTGTTATTTGCTGATGACTTCTCATACATCCCAGACAAGGCTTCCATCAATCTTGCTGTGGATTTCTCTTTTGTAACATTATGAGCAACTCTTCTTGACAATGATAGCCGGATAATGCCTAAGACTTGTCTATCAAGTATTTGCCAATCTTCTTCTGACATGTTTTCTGGCTTGCTCCCCAACAGAGGAAGATGAAGTTTCTTCCCATATAGATAATCTTCAATTTGCATTTTCCAATATCCAAAATCAGTTCCATCAAATTTTTCAATTCCTGCAGCCTTTATTTCATCAGCCATTTTTACTCTTTCTCGGATTTGAATCTCAAAAATCTGACCTTACAGATGTGTCCGGAATGGCCAAAAATGCTGGAAACGACACTGAGATCACCCAAATCGGACTTCGGATGGCTCCGATTTAAACAATCAAAAATTGAGATAACTGGACGCTGCAGATGAAGCCACGTGGCAGGAGGAATAGTCTCTGCGCCACACCGGATCAAAACCCTGTTATGCTGACGTGGCAAGCTGACGTGTCAGACACGTAGGCAATGTGGGGTCCACCTAATCTGACGTGGCAGATCCGCGGAGATTTTCGACTGACGTGACGGTGATGACGTGTCGGCTGACGGGGGTTGACCGGTCAGACTGCTGATGTGGCAGGGTGTGCGGCTGCTGACTGTGCCGGACGGCTGATGTGGCTGCTGACGTGGCAGTGTCAATTTGCAGGAAACGGCGAGAAAGACGCGTGAAGCGCGTACGGCGCGTCTGTGCGCGTGGACAGTACTGGTGGTGACGCGTGCAGGCGCGTGCGGGCATGCAGGACGTCTAAGTTTCGCCGGGTTTTCACCAGTGGATTCCTCTCGTCGTCCTCTTCACGGTGGTATGTTCAAAAACACGTTTTGAGAACTTTGATTTTTGAGTTTGGATTAAACACCCTCTTTTTCAAGAACTTTCAAGAACAAGCTCTGATACCAGTTGTTAGGAGATCCAAACATTCAAACACACACAAATTTACGTGGTTCGGCAACTTGCCTACTCCACGGAGCTACTGGTTTGTATTAATCAAGCTCAAAAGCAATACAAACAACAAAACAAGGAGGAGGAGAAAACTTCTCAACTCAACTCAACTCTCACCCTTAGCTCTCTTTCTGTGTTTCTCTCTATCTCGTGTTCTGTCTCAGCTATCAATACACCTTCTATTTATAGCTGAGGAGGGAGATGATTGTTCAACAATGGTGGGCAAGTTAGGCACCTACCATTTGACTATGACTTCAACCATGGCTGCCACCAAACATGGCTGCCACCGGCCATTTGTGTCCACACACATAACAGCATCTGGTGCAGTTGGTCAGCTTGTGGAGCAGATTGCTAATTTGATGGGTTGCTATGTTGTTGGAAGTGCAGGTAGTAAAGAAAAGGTGGGAAAACCTTTGTTACTCTTTTCATTATTTCACTTGACATGCTTTTATCCTATGGCTTCTTACTTCACTAGCTACAATTTGCGTGAGGAAGTTGTTAATCAGATTAGTCCATCCTAGACATGTGAATTTGATCGCATCTTGTTTTGATTTCATGGTATTATAGGTTGAACTGTTGAAGAGCAAATTTGGGTTTGATGGTGCTTTCAACTATAAAGAGGAACATGACTTGGATGCTGCCTTAAAACGGTCAGTCCATATAAAGAAAGATTCACAAATCACTTTCATGAATCCAGAATCCATGGAAGTGATCCAGATTTACGGTTTTGTATATGAAACTTGAGATTGAGAAAACATCCCTTATATATGATTTGAGGTTTGTTTCCATTACTAGGTACTTCCCCGAAGGCATCGACATTTACTTTGAGAATGTTGGGGGGAAAATGCTTGATGCTGTGCTTCTAAACATGAGATTGCGCGGCCGCATTGCTGCTTGTGGAATGATCTCGCAGTACAATCTTCATCAACCTGAAACCATTCAAAACTTGACGAATATTGTTTATAAGCGGATTCGAATACAAGGGTTTGTGGTTATGGATTACTTTGACCAGTACTCCAAGTTCTTGGATTTTATTCTGCCTTGTATCAGAGAAGGGAAGATTGTTTATGTGGAAGACATAGCTGAAGGACTCGAGAGTGGCCCTGCTGCTTTGATCGGCCTTTTTAGCGGCCGCAACATCGGAAAGCAAGTAGTGAAGGTTACTGATGAGTGATCAGTATTCTTCAGCATACCTTAGCATTATTTTTGAGTGATATTAAAGCAGTTTAATTTTATAGGCCTATTTTTAGCAGCCTACCTTGATCTTCATCAGAATTTTTAGACATTATAGAGATGTAAAACCGCATTTCGGGTATGACAATAAGAGAGATGGCTTACATATCTTGTTAAGCTCTTTTTCATGCATGATCATAGACAATATCAGTTGAAGATTTTCGATTATTATGCCATGAACAACTACTTTTTCTCTTATGCTTGAAAACGATGACGATTAACATAGCATTGTTTGCAATTTACCAAAATATTGTTGAAGATTACGTTAATGACTATTATCATGATTCCTTGGATCCTGTATTGTCTTACGTAAGAGAGAAGGGAAGATAAAGTAGGAGGAGGACATTGATGAAGGACGATAGAGTGGCCCTGCAGCTCTGGTACGTGTGCGTTTTCTGTGGTCTTTAACAGTGTAAGGATATGTGATGGGACCCATTAACATGTATAATCTTAAGTTCTCAAAAATAAATATAAAGGTAATGGGACTCTAAAATGGAAATTGAACCACACAATATTTAAAAAAAAAACTTTTCTAAGCAAAATTATTCCAAAAATGCAAAAATTATCTTCATTAATTTCGAAGTAGTGATTTTTACGAATATTCTGAATAATTGGTTTAATTTGCGTATCCCTCCTACATGGCCCATCAACCCATCCGCCTTTACTACTTTACCGTGAAAGATAAGCCGACAGTTGTAACTTGAAGCTTCCAGAGAGTTTGGAGACCGTGCCTGAGCTCAACAATGGCAGGTAGTGGTGAAACAGTGAGCAACAAGCGTGTGTTATTCAAGAAATATGTGTCTGGTTTCCCAAAAGAATCAGACATGTATGTTGCCACTACTACCACTGAACTCAAAGTACCAGATGGTTGTAATAATGGGGTTCTTGTTAAGAATCTCTATCTTTCTTGTGACCCGTATATGGTAGTTTTGATGAAGAAGTCCATAGACCCAAGGACTTTCACTTCGTATACCCCAGGCTCTGTAAGCCCTTTTCTTATCTCTCGTTTTTCGTTTTTTGCTTTTGTTTTCTGATTGGGTGCTGAGAATTGGAAAGAAAATGTGTTTAGGAAAGTAAAGTTTTCGGCTTTATGGGTTAGGACAAGTGGGAATTGTGGAGGGTTTTGTTTAATGTTCCTTTCGAGTGATAAGAGGATGAAACTGGTGCCATTTTTGTGATTTTTGTTGAAAGCTTATAGCCTTTATTGAAAGACTATTGATTCCTGTTGACAGCTTAGGACTTAAACAGTTGATCAATGGAATTAAACTTAACAATCTATCAAGCCCGTGTACTGTAGTTTTTTCCAAGTTCTTTAGTCAATATGTTGTGGATTTCTAAGGAAGAATGTCTATTGAAAATTGTGTCCCTTAATTTACCAATCTTGCTGTCATTGCCTACTTATTATAACTGGAAAAGAAAGACGGGGACTAGTTGCATGGGAATATTTCTGTTGCAAAGCATTGGAGAGACATATACCTAAATGGAAATGAACTGTTTGATATTTTATTTCTAAGAATTTTGGAAATTAGACACAGATGATTGGAAATAAATCTCCTGTAAATTTAGCTCAGCTTACATTTTTGAAATTGCTGGTTCGTATATGGCTAGTGTACTAAATTTGCATTTTGTAACTTGTGTGGTGGAAACTTGCCAGCCATTACGTGGGTATGGAGTGGCGAAAGTGGTGGATTCTAGGCACCCGGGCTTTAAAGAAGGCGACTTTGTTTGGGGGACAGTAGGCTGGGAAGAGTACAGTCTTATCACTTCATTCCAACCCTTCTTTAAAATTCAGGATACTGATGTACCCCTTTCATACTATACAGGAATTCTTGGTAAGTCATAGAAGGTTCTGGTATGTGTAAACTATCATCAATTAGATGCATTACAAGAACTTTTGGTCATTACAAACAGAAAATCCCCCATACCATAGGAAAGACGTAATTTTTATCATAGTCATTCCCTGTTATCATTAGCATGTCACTCACTCACCCTGTAAGTTTTTTTTTTTTTTTTTGCCCACAGCAATAACTAGGCGCAATTAAACTTGAATGATGTATATCTCCCCATTCCTAGAAGTTTGCTATTATGTTGCGATAGTTCCTACAACTGAATTGTCTTAGGAGTTAAACAAAATGAACTGAATGTGGTTCTTGGGATCCAAAACTGACTCCAACGCAAGACATTGTTTATTATATTCATTTTTTGTTGTTAGGATAACTTCACTTTCATGTATGGTGTTCTAAGTGTGTTTGGGGTCAATCTTGCAGTGAGCTAATTATAACTCCATGCCACAAAGAGAAGGAAAAAATGCATCTAATAAAATTTGTGCATTGTTGCATAGCAATTCTGCTTTTGTTTCCAAGATTTTCATGTCGCTCTGTTTCTTTGTTTTTCTGTCCTTCCAATTTTTTATTAGGTCTGACTGCTTATGCTGGTTTCTATGAGGTTTGTTCTCCAAAGAGAGGAAATTATGTTTTCATTTCAACTCATTGTATGTGCATTTGCTTTTACAGGCATGCCTGGTATGACTGCTTATTTTGGTTTCTATCAAGTTTGTTCTCCAAAGAAAGGGGAGCACGTCTACATTTCAGCAGCATCTGGTGCTGTTGGTCAGCTTGTTGGCCAGTTTGCAAAGCTAATGGGTTGTTATGTTGTTGGAAGTGCCGGAAGTAAAGAAAAGGTGAGCCAGCATTCACTGTTATACTTTCGTTATTAGGCTATTCCTGGTATCATTGAATCTGGTAAATAAATTTTACTTGCAAAGAACTTTATCTTGTACTTCCCAATTTTCCATCTATTAATGGGCCTACAGCTCATGTTCTGTAAATTTTGAGCACCGTACAGTGCATGATTGTTTCCTATGAGGGAGCACAAACACAAGGCATAGTTTCTTCTTGAAATTTCGTCCATTGACATCACATTGAAGAGTTTGACAACATTGGATCTTGCTTTTCCTTTCTTGCATGTTGTGACCCCCTCCATTGGTTGGGTGATTGACCCTGAGATATATAGTATCTTTTTCTCTTCTCATGTTTAATCAGGTTGATTTATTGAAGAATAAATTTGGGTTTGACGAGGCTTTTAATTACAAAGAGGAGCCTGACTTAAATGCTGCACTGGGAAGGTCAGTATATGTAAATGTTATTGCATTAAGCCAACTCACTGATATACTTAATTTTTTTCAAGTCATCTTTTGCCATCCCATGGAGATTATGTTTCTCTCAAATTTCACCAGCATGAAGTGGACATCTAAAACCATTCATCACCAAAATGTTGTAGAGAACATATTATTTGGGGAGGGGAGGGTAGGGGGAAGAAATGGAGTGATAAACATCACATTAGCTGTGGCAATATGATTTCAAGCATTGATGGTAACTGGCCTCCAACTGTTACAGATACTTCCCTGAAGGCATTGACATATATTTTGAAAATGTTGGGGGCAAGATGCTTGACGCCGTGCTTCCAAATATGAGACTTCGTGGCCGTATTGCGGTATGTGGAATGATCTCACAATACAATCTTGACAAACCTGAAGGTGTATTTAATTTAATGACTGTCGTTTACAAGCGGGTACGCATAGAAGGATTTGTGGTTACAGATTATTATGATCAATATCCCAAGTTCCTAGATTTTGTTTTGCCTTGCATAAGAGAGGGAAAGATAAAGTACATGGAAGACATTTCTGAAGGACTCGAGAATGGCCCTGCGGCGCTGGTAGGCCTTTTCAGTGGACAAAATGTTGGGAAAAAGCTGGTTGTAGTTGCTCGTGAGTGATTGTAGCCCATTGTATCGTTTTCTTTGTTTCTAGCTTTGGGACGAAGGCTGTTATCATTTTAAAAGTTGAAGGTGGTTGTGCACGCATTTTTTCTGTGTAATGGCTGTGTTAATAATTCAAGCCTGGACAATTTTGGTTTGATGATGTGTCCTTCTCAAAGTGTGGTTCCGACTGCTATACTTATAATATTCATTTTCTCCTGCTTCAAAGCCATAGATTTTCATGTAGAAAGATGTTTTTTCATGTTGAAGAAACGACGAAAAAGCTTCTCCCTGCAGTAAATACTGTCACATTTACGGTGCTGAAAAGGATAAAAAACCCACCTCTGAACCCTTCTTTTTGTGGGGCCTGTGCTTTGATCTCTTTCTGTAAGATGGCATTTTGGGGTCTTTACAATGGGGGTCGTTATTGTTGAACTTTTTTTGTTGTTTTTGTTGCTAGAAAGCCATATTGCTTTTAGTTTTTGAATATTTGATGTGCCTTGGATTTTATCTTTAAACAATGAAAAAAAATTATGATCTAGCCAATGCATACTAGAGAGGAGAATCTAGCAAGTTGTGAAATTGCTCAGCTCATACATCGATTTTGTGATTGATTTTAGTGATACTGTAAATGAACTTGAACCAAGGTATCAGAACTTAGCTACCCTCAGGTCCATCTAGCACCTTTCAATGGTGCGCTTCTGCTGCCACTTAATTTGTTGTTTTGCATAAACTAGTCGATTGGTTGAGTGTTGTGGATGATTCAGACAACTGTTTTCTAGTTTTTTTTTTAAAAAAAAATAGATCTCTGTATAAACAACCGATTGATCGCTTCTAGCTTTTCGAGAAACTGGTCAACCAGCTATTTGTCTTCACAGTATGTTATTTTCGCTTCTAATTCTCTGATAACTTTTGCTTCTCTTACCGGTTACCTTCGCCTAGTTTAACCTAGGTAACATGCCCTTTATACTTCTTCGGGTATGTTTTTGTACTTTTATATACATTTTTCTCTTCTACACGATTACTCTTTTTACTCCTCGTTTCTTTCTTTTACAACATGAAAGTGATTTCTCTTTTTGGTGTTGTTTTTAGCACTTAAAGAACATGTTAGTTGGAACAAAAAGTTCATCTTTTTTTAATAAAGAAAATTGTTCTTGTTTGTTGATTTGCTAATTTGTGTAAGGGGATGCTCTAAAGTATAATTATGATTGTTTTTTAAAGTGTTTTTGTTTAGAAATATATTAAAATAATATATTTTTTTATTTTTTTTTAATATCAACACATCAAAATAATTTAAAACTACTAAAAAATATTAATTTTAAATAAAAAATAAATATTTTTAATCAATATTGATTTTTGAGTTAGTGACTAGGATATTCTGTTTTATAATATAATAGGAGGTTTTTTTTGTTGTTAAAAAAATCTTTTGACTTTTTTAAATT